AGTTGATGGCAACGGAAACATCGTCACTCAGCAGCTCTGGTACAGAAAAACAAAACGCTTCGTTTTCCCCAGTTCACAAAGAAAAACCTTCCAGAGAATCACAGGGCAATAATTTAATAACCAAACTTACGTTAGCAGATACATTTCATCTCAAATTTCAGTCAGATATTAATTGTTTTGGTTTATTTTGGTCAAAGTGGATCTCAGCTAACAGAACAAACAGAAAAGGATTAAATATGATTGAACAATTTCGTATTCAGATTGATGGAAAATGATTTTATTGCCTTTAACACCAAACTTCTTTACTTCATCTTTAAAAAGTGATCAAACACCTGGATTAATTTGCTTTTACAAATTATGAGTTTTTAATAAATGTTTTTTTTTGACAAAGAAAATTTCACAAAAAGTGAAAACTGATTCCAATCAAATGACAAATAAATGAAAGTATATAAATATTAACTCTCTTTAAAAGGTCTGTCCTCATTCAACAAACGTTCAGCACTAGTTAATTTTGTATTAGCGCTTTTGCTAACTGTGCTAACATTTAGCGCACTTAGCTTATTATCAAGAGCTAATTTAGTTTGCTGTCTTAAACTTTCAGGTGAATAAAGTTTGATATCTGTAAGACTTTAAGATTTCTTCCAGTAGTTTATATTCATGCTCTTATTTTGAAGTCCGTTTGCGCAGTGGTTGTTTCCTGTCCTCACGGTCTCTCTTTTTCCCCCAGTAACTTTATTTAAAACCAGAAACAGGAACAGAACAAAACACAGACAGCAAACAAAATATAAATAAATAGAAAATCGAAGGACTTTATGGACCATAGAAATTATGTTGAAATTAAATTGGTGTTTGAAGGTTGTCGTTTTTCAAGAGCAGACAGAATATCAATTGATGTTAGCGCTTTGGCATTAGCTTCCCATAAATACTGTGGTAATATAGCACTTTAGCATTAGCTTCTGCTAAATACCATGTTGGTATAGCATGTTAGCAGAGCTAATGTTTCATGATTAGCGCTTCAGGGTTAGCTAACTATTCAGTTAGCGGCTAGGCTACATATAGGCTAAGCTACACATTAGCCTGGTGTAGCTCATTATGGATAATTGTGAAGCCATATTTTGCTTCATGTTGATTGTTGTGTTGAGTTAAAAGCTGGAGGTTCTTGACCTACGATCACACATGATGTGACAACCGTTGGCGGTTCTGATCCGGGTGTCGTTGCACCACCAGCGGCTGTTGATCTGGAAGATGCCGTAGTCGGTGGATTTGTCCCGGTTGTGGTTCTCTGCCAGAGTGTTGTATCTCGACTCCGAGTAAGTCAGACACATCCCTGAAGACAAAACCAGTTTCATGTTTAACCCCAGCAGAGGGCGCCGTCAGCAGGCAGTGACCGAAGCATCCGACAGCAAGAGACGCAGCGTGTCAAACTGTCCCACAAAGACTCTTCATGGGAAACGGCCATTTGCAAAGTTAGCAGCAATAATTCAGGTTATTTAGTCATAAAAGGGTCAATGTCACAATCATAAATGCCACAGTTTCAATCATACAAAGGAAATATTTATGTCTGAGCTAAATATTTAGTTTTCAAGCTAAATAGTTAGTTTAAAATTAAGTACTTATTGGGCTAAATATTTAGGTTAAAGCTAAATATTCAAACTAAATATTTTTGATCAGATCTAAATAAACTAAATATATAGTTGGTGATCTGAGTATTCAGCCTTAAAGTAAATATTTAGCCAAATGTTTATAAGACATATAATTGTGCAATAACTGCAGTAATTTCATTTACTGAATAATTATTTCAGATTTTCTCCTCTAAACAGATCGTTGACCTTGATATTGTTTTAAAAGGGTTTCAGTCTAATCAGTTTTATCTTAAAGTATTTAGTAATCAAACCTGGATGAAGTCAGAAATGATCCGGTTTTCTGATCTGTTTGTCAAAATGTGAACAAAAGGAACCAGAATCATGAGTTTGTTGCTCTGTGGACTTACAGTTGGCCAGGCTGACGCCAGTATCCGTCCATCCCGTAGCTCTTCATGGTCCGGGCCCACTGGCACCGCTCAAACACTCTGCCGTCCACCAGAACCGCCGCCAGCACCAGAACCACCAGAACCTTCATCGCCTCGTCTGGAATCAACTCGACCTGCAGAAACAGAAGGAAACTCTGTGGTTGCTGCAACTGAACCGCAGGCAACTTTCAATATGACCAACAAGAAGCAACGGAGAATCAGACAAGTTCCCTAAAACATGAAGAGCTTCTGGTTCTGGTTCTGGTTTTACAGCAGATGGTTCCTGTAAGAGGAAACCACCACAACAGAATAGATTAGAATAGAATAGAATAGAATAGAATAGAATAGAATAGATTAGCTGCAGCTCCTCCTCATCATGATTCTCCTTTTTTTGGTGATTTATTAGAAAAATCACTAAAATGAAGTTTGAAAAGTTCCAGTTTAATTCCTGAACTTTTCCAAATTCTGCTGTAGATTTTTTAGATTCATTTAAATATTTCTGAGATTTTTTAACTTTTCAGACTAAAACATATCTGTAATTTTTCCTAAAAAATGTTTGAGAATTTTCACCTGAGAAATTTTTTTTTCCTTTAACATTTTTGACTTTTCAAACTAAGAAATTTCCACAATTTTGTATAAAGTTTCAGAGATTAATCTACAAAATGTTGTTTTCTAGTGAATTTTGTCAGAAATTTCCTAATTTTTTTTGAAAAAAGGACTTTTTAAAATAGAAATTCACTTCTTTTTGTATGATCAGTGGCCCTAACAGGCTGCCGTAGCTCATAACTTCAGCCTGACATACTTGGTGATCCAGTGGAACCAGTCTGGCAGCAAACTGGGATTTTGTTCAAAACACTTTGAGACCAAAAACACTTTCAAAACTTTTATGTATCTAAAGTTATTTAAAGCAAAGATCAGTGAAAAGGTTCCTGCAGAGACTAGTTTTGTTTCTACCTTCAAAACGTTTATTTAAAAATAATTAAAATGTTTGTGTTTTAGAGTGAGATACGTTACCTGTGGATCAGCTGCAGTCACCAGTAAACCTCTAAAACCTAAAACTGTCCGGAGGAAGGGGATGATGATGTCATCAGGCGAGGCCACGCCCACCGGAAGCTGCAGAGGGAAACGGAAACAGCTGACAGACGTTTCTGCAGCAGAGCTCAGCAGCTGATATTAATAAAAACAGCTGCTGGTTTCATCATTCCATCGACTCAAAATGAAAAGTTCTGGGTTTCATCCAACAGAACAGATGACCGGAGCTGGAGCCCCTCACTCTCTGATACTGGTCACCATCCAGCCACCTCTGACCCTTGACCCCAGTGGGGTCAGGAGCTGCTGCCTCTCCAGCCAACGTTTCGGGCGAGAGGCGGGGTCACCTGCAGGTTATTAATCATTGGAGTCTCGTCGCCGACAGGAAGAGACTCCAAGCCCCTCAACAAACACCTGGACAGGTGAGGCTCTTCAGTGAGACCTTCCAATAAAAATGCCCCGGCTCATTGGACCGAACCGGTTCTTGGTTCTCATTCTTGGTTCTCGGTTCTCGGTCTGGTTCCACCCGGTGCAGGAGTTTCTGTAAACTGTATTTTCCTTCCATTGGTGGCTCTGAATAAACGATGTTTGTAAAAATATCAGCTGACAGTGAAGCTGAATCTGTCAGTAATGATGAAACTAAAGTGTTGAAACACATTCAGGTGTTTGTGGTACCAGACGACCCGGTTCTGTTGGGTCCCACTTCTCCCTCAGAAACCTAAAAATCAAGTCCAGTGATTTAACAGGGAGTTTCCATAGCAAGCAGTGACTCATAATGTTTCATTTCAGCCTGAATTATTTCCTTTCTGACTCGGTTTTTCTCCCACAGTCAACACTGGGAACCAGTTTAACTAACTGGTTAAACAACTATCAAGATCTAAACACCAACATGTATTTTATCCAGAAACTGTCAGAGGTTTGATTCCCCCCCACTTCCTGTCCAGGTACAGTTTAACGTTCAGCACTGGAGGTCAAAGGTCAGAAAACAACAAGCAGCCGCCGCTCTGCTTTCAGCCGCAGGAAACTCCACTGATAAGAGCAGCAGAGTTTCTCCCAGCAGGTCCAGTTCCCAGCAGGTCCAGTTCCCAGCAGGTCCAGTTCCCAGCAAGTCCAGTTCCCAGCAAGTCCAGTTCCCAGCAAGTCCAGTTCCCAGCAAGTCCAGTTCCCAGCAGGCTGCAGATAGATAGATAGATAGATAGATAGATAGATAGATAGATAGATAGATAGATAGATAGATAGATAGATAGATAGATAGATAGATAGATAGATAGATAGATAGATAGATAGATATTATTTCATATTCTGTTTGTTTTATTCTGTTTCCTGTTTTAATAAAGTTATTAGGAGAAAAGCAAAGCATGAGGACAGGAAGCAGAACTACTGCCTGAACAATCTACATGCACTTCAAAATAAGAGCGTAAACTAAAACATGAATTACCTGAAGCAGGTTATGATGTTAAAATGTATTTCAGTGAATGTTTAAAAACAGCCAGTTAAATTAGCGCTTTAGCATTTATCTGTTAAAATGAGACAGGAAGCTAAGTGTGCTAACATTTTCAAAGTTAGCTAAATGCTAAAAATGACCTTAACCTGAACATAAACATGTTTATGTAACAATCTGAATCGTCTTGTTAACATTTTAAAACGTCACATGTTGAAATATTTGTGTTTGGAGTTTCAGTGAAATCACCTGCAGAGACGAAACCTGGAGGAATCGTCACAAATTCATCACAAATTCATCACAAATTCATCACAAAGTCGTCACAAATTCATCACAAATTCATCACAAATTCATCACAAATTCATCACAAATTCATCACAAAGTCATCACAAATCACTGAACCAATTCCACCAAAGTTACCAAACATTTGTTCTGGGTTCTGTCTTCTTGCATAACGCTGCAGTTTGTTGGACTTTGCTGCACATCGATCTGTTTCCACACTGAGAAACATTCAGTCACATTCAGGAGTCCAGAGAGAAACTGGGATCAAATCAGAACGTCGTGTTTTTTTGCTCCTTTCATTGTTGAATTTGGACGACTTTCAATCAGATTAGGTCTCAGTTAAAGCAGCCACAGGTGGTCAAGGTGAGCACATCGACAGGAAACCAGGAGATGAAGACGATGAAGACGCTGCTGCCGCTGCTGCTGCTGCTGCTGCTGCTGGCTGCGGCCGATGCTAAAGTCTTTGAGCGCTGTGATTGGGCGCGCACCTTGAAGGCCAATGGCATGGATGGTTACCGCGGCATCAGCCTGGCCAACTGTAAGTACAGAACCATCGACTGTTAGCATCAGTGGGAGTCAGACGTGTCTGTCATGAAGCTGCTTGTTCTCCTTCATCTTCACTCCGTTCATGAAACATTTCCTGGTTTTCAGAGACGTCATCATCAGAAAACAACTCTGATTGGTTGGCAAATGGATCATTTTTGCTGCAAGTTCAGGTTTAAGAACGACGTAGATGTTGGGTTGGTTCATCTCTTTAGTTGGATCTGCAGCAGCAGCTGCTGCAGTCTGGTCAGTTCAGTCGCCTGCAGCACCAGAGAGTCACCAAGAACTGGACCTTAAAGTGAGAATCTCTCTCTGGATGGAGTCTCCATGTTCTTCCTTTGCATTTCTTGGTTTTCTGGTTTCCTGGAGACGTCTAGATGCATCTAGACGCATCTAGATTCCTCCAGGTCGTGTTCAGCTCATTGTTAGTTGAGTTTCCAGTCTCGTCATCGTCCCTCGCTCAACGATCTTTGGCGATAGACTCCAGTTCCCATCCAGGGAGACGGATGATTTTGTTATCCAGTGTTCAGTCTTTACCCAACCGATGCTGAATCTGGTGTTTCCTGATTGTCCGTAGGGTTTGCCTGACCCAACACGAGTCATCCTTCAAACCAGAGCCACCAACCGCAACACAGACGGCTCCACCGACTACGGCATCTTCCAGATCAACAGCCGCTGGTGGTGCAGAGATGGCGGAGTCTCAGCATCCAACGGATGCGGCATCAGCTGCAGCCGTAAGCGTTGAATCCTCATGTTTTCTCTGGGATAGAAAGTAAAAGCAGAAACTTCCAGTTTGAATCTTCCTCCAGAACTGCAGACAGACGATGTGACCGCGGCGATCACCTGCGCCAAACGCGTCGTCAGGGACCCCAACGGGATCGCAGCATGGTGGGTCATGTGATGCAGTGATGGTGAGACTGCTTTACTTTGATTGGACCGTCATTGGTAACAGTGTTTTTGGCTTCAGGGTGGCCTGGACGAAACACTGTCAGAACCGAGACCTGAGCAGCTACCTGAGGGGCTGCAGACTCTGACCTGGACCTGAAGACCAGAACAACCTTCATCCTCTGACATTATTTTAGGGATCCTAAAATAACATTTCAATAAAACAAGTACATCCCTGATCCAGAGACACCTCAGCCTCTTCCTTTCCTCTGCTGTATTCACTGACTGATGCATTCACTGACCACTGCATTCACTGACTGATGCATTCACTGACCGCTGCATTCACTGACCGCTGCATTCACTGACCGCTGCATTCACTGACTGATGCATTCACTGACCGCTGCATTCACTGATTGATGCATTCACTGACCACTGCATTCACTGACTGCTGCATTCACTGACTGCTGCATTCACTGACTGATGCAATCACTGACCGCTGCATTCACTGACTGGTGCATTCACTGACTGATGCATTCACTGACCGCTGCATTCACTGACTGATGCATTCACTGACCACTGCATTCACTGATGCATTCACTGACGACTGCATTCACTGACCGCTGCATTCACTGACTGATGCATTCACTGACCGCTGCATTCACTGACTGATGCATTCACTGACCGCTGCATTCACTGACCGCTGCATTCACTGACTGATGCATTCACTGACCGCTGCATTCACTGACTGATGCATTCACTGACCGCTGCATTCACTGACTGATGCATTCACTGACCGCTGCATTCACTGACCGCTGCATTCACTGACTGATGCATTCACTGACTGCTGCATTCACTGACTGATGCAATCACTGACCGCTGCATTCACTGACTGATGCATTCACTGACCGCTGCATTCACTGACTGCTGCATTCACTGACTGATGCATTCACTGACCGCTGCATTCACTGACTGATGCATTCACTGACTGATGCATTCACTGACTGCTGCATTCACTGACTGATGCATTCACTGACTGCTGCATTCACTGACTGATGCATTCACTGACTGCTGCATTCACTGACCGCTGCATTCACTGACCGCTGCATTCACTGACTGCTGCATTCACTGAGTGATGCATTCACTGACTGCTGCATTCATTGACTGCTGCATTCACTGACTGATGCATTCACTGACTGATGCATCACTGACTGCTGCATTCACTGACTGATGCATTCACTGACGACTGCATTCACTGACCGCTGCATTCACTGACCGCTGCATTCACTGAGTGATGCATTCACTGACTGATGCATTCACTGACCGCTGCATTCACTGACCGCTGCATTCACTGACTGATGCATTCACTGACTGATGCATTCACTGACTGATGCATTCACTGACCGCTGCATTCACTGACTGATGCAATCACTGACCGCTGCATTCTGACTGCTGCATTCACTGACTGATGCATTCACTGACCGCTGCATTCACTGACTGATGCATTCACTGACTGATGCATTCACTGACTGCTGCATTCACTGACTGATGCATTCACTGACTGCTGCATTCACTGACTGATGCATTCACTGACTGCTGCATTCACTGACCGCTGCATTCACTGACCGCTGCATTCACTGACCGCTGCATTCACTGAGTGATGCATTCACTGACTGCTGCATTCACTGACTGCTGCATTCACTGACTGATGCATTCACTGACTGATGCATTCACTGACTGATGCATTCACTGACTGATGCATTCACTGACTGATGCATTCACTGACCGCTGCATTCACTGACCGCTGCATTCACTGAGTGATGCATTCACTGAGTGATGCATTCACTGACCGCTGCATTCACTGACCGCTGCATTCACTGACTGATGCATTCACTGACTGATGCATTCACTGACCGCTGCATTCACTGACCGCTGCATTCACTGACTGATGCATTCACTGACTGATGCATTCACTGACTGATGCATTCACTGACTGCTGCATTCACTGACTGCTCAGTGTGACTCTATAGACCTTCTGTTAAATTCAATGCATCCTGAATTGTCGGAAAGAAATTGATTCTTTTTTTCTTCATGTTATTTTCTATTCAATTCTAGAAAATCAACCTGAAGGCTTTTTTTTTTACCTCCAGCTCAACTTTTCCTCAAGTTTTATTATCAAGATTCACAGGATGCAGCAAAAAACCTCAAAATCAGCAAAAACCTCAAAATCAGCAAAAACCTCAAATTCAGAGGGAATTTCAAGTGTATTATTTCCAGATTCATGTCTGGTTTTATGATGAAATGGTTTCTTATGAAACATGAATTTAATAAATTGGAGTTTTTATGATGTTTTTCTCTCATTGAAGGGATGTTGGTTGAACCAATCAGGGATTTAGAAAAGACATGAAAACAAAATGAAAGAATAAATTTTCAAAAATGAATGGATAAATGAATGATCAGAACTGATCATTAATCGTTATAAGCCCCAGCTGATACTTGATATTGATCCAGTTTCGGTGATTGATCCGGTTCGGCTGCACTGAGGCGCTGAGCTCCAGCTGCAGAGTAAAACCTGCTGATTAATCAATCGCTGCTTCTGTCCAATCAGAGGCTCCAGGAGTCAACTTGCCGTATCAATTAGAACCTGGTTGGTTTTCCTCCTGGTTTGCAGCAGCAGCTGCCCGTCTCTGTGGGTCATCGGGGTCATCATGGACCCTGAACTCCACCATGGTCCTGATGAAACGTTCTTCGTTCAGCGAGGCTCCGTCTCGTCTCCAACCTGCAGCAACCTGAAGCTGCCCTGCAAGACGCCATTAATCAAGCGGCCGACTGGAGGCAGCCGGATCAATTCATCTGCAGACTGAGGGACGGATCCATGAGGACCATGTGGGCCGGAGCCGGAGGAGGTTCTGGAAACAGTGATGGAGGAGCGGAGGGGCGGCTCGATGCAGAGCAATACTTTAACCATCCAACAACGACTCATTTCACTGTTTGGACAACATGGATGAATCAAAAAGATCAAGTTACATTTACTGCAGAAACTGTGGAAAAAATGGACTTTAGGAGTATTTCTGCTGCACTCTACTTCTTACTTTTAGCCCTGCTTTAGCTCTGCTTTAGCACTGGCTTTAGCTCTGCTTTAGCACTGGCTTTAGCACTGCTTTAGCACTGGCTTTAGCGCTGCTTTAGCACTGGCTTTAGCGCTGCTTTAGCACTGGCTTTAGCTCTGCTTTAGCACTGGCTTCAGCACTGCTTTAGCACTGGCTTTAGCACTGCTTTAGCACTGGCTTTAGCTCTGCTTTAGCACTGGCTTTAGCTCTGCTTTAGCACTGGTTTTAGCGCTGCTTTAGCACTGGATTTAGCGCTGCTTTAGCACTGGCTTTAGCTCTGCTTTAGTCCTACTTTAGCTCTGCTTTAGCTTTGCTTTAGTCCTACTTTAGCTCTGCTTTAGCGCTGCTTTAGCAGTGGCTTTAGCGCTGCTTTAGCAGTGGCTTTAACGCTGCTTTAGTGCTGGTTTTAGCGCTGCTTTAGCGCTGCTAAACAGTTAGCAGACTTTGCTGCCTCTAAACAAATTTTAAACAAACTAAAAAGCTGAATTACTTCACTGGTTTTGGATACATTTCAAAATCTGTGTTGAAGTTTTGGTTTTTGACTTTGGTCAAGATGTTCATGCTTTTATTTTGAAGTCTGTTTTTGCAGCAGTTTCATTTCCTCTCATCATGTTCTCATTTTTTGTCTGATGCATGCATGAAATGTACAGTAACAGAGTAAAACCTGGGCAGGAGAACAAAGTATGAACTTAAATGCAACATCTGCAGGTCTCTGCACTAAACAGCAGCCATGTTTGTTCACCACTTTTAATTGTTTTGATAGAAAAAGTTTGTCATATCCACCCAGAATGTCCCTGATCTCCTTACATTGTCCAGGAAATGATGTTTATCCTGTACCCAGAATGCATCACTGCAGCGCCATCCCTTAGCGTTAGCATCAGCAGAAAAAACTTAAGGATTCTCGTCGCTCAGCTCAGAAGTAGCTTCCCAGTAAATCTACGTCATGTTGCCATCTGGTTGAGCCTGGATCAGGTCCAGGTCCAGCAGAACCTGTAGATCCGGTTTGGTCAGAACTCATGAACCTTTTGTCCTGTTGGTAACAGACAAATCCTTCAGAGAGGAAATTGATGGTAGTTTATCAAACAGTCCACCTTAAATCCAGAACCAGGTGATGGACTGAAGCTTCAAAGCTGTGACGCAGGGGAAGCATTTCGGCGGCGCACACCTGTTTTCCAGGTGTTTCCGGTCTAATCAAAGCCCTGCGCTCTGTGAAGGTTTGATTGATGCCTCTGACTGAAGGCCGTCCACCTCCAGCCCGAACAGAACCGAACCGAACCGAACCGGTTGGTTCTGGTATAAAAACAAGGAGAAAATATCCGATTTCTTCTTGGTGGAAAATGTGAAAAACATTTGAAAAGCTATTTTTGAAATAGTTAATATTGAAACATTGATCAACATAAATAAATGGTAAAATGAAGGTTTTTGGTTTAAATGCTGCCTTGTTTGTTCCAGTTGCACAAGCAGAGACTCTGCTGCTGTTAGACAGCAGAAATATGAGCAACAGCACATTTATTTCCTGACTGCATCAGGAATGTTATTTTCAGGATGGATTCATGACAAAATAAGAAAGAAATAAACCCACAAAAAGGTGGAGAAAGGTTAGAACATTTGAATGAGAACAAGACAAAGAGTAGAAGAAGAGTGACAGACGGGTGGAGAGAAGGAATGAAAGGCAGGAGATAAAACGAGCCGAGAGGAGCAGAGGAGGAGGAAGAGGAGGAGGAAGAGGAGGAGGAGGAGGAGGAGGGCAGGTTGTTAATTTCAGGGTTGGTATCTCTGAAGCGCCAGAACCTCCAGGGTCAGCAGGCCTGGTGCTGGACGTCCATATCAAACAGAGCGAGGGCCGAGGGAGGAGGAGGAGGAGGAGGAGGAAGAGAGGAGGAGGAGGAGGAGGAGGAGGAGGAGGAGGAGGAGGAGGAGGAGGAGGAGGAGGAGGAGGAAGAAGAGGAGGAGGAGGAGCAAAAAGTGAGCCGCTCCTGTTGTCCTGGTCCAATTAAATCCCTGCCTCAGATGGAAATGTTTCTATCTCTGTACATTCAGGACGTGATGCTGCAGCAGCATCATCACGTCCTGATGCTGCAGCTGCAGCAGCATGTTCCTCCATGTTGGATCAGAAACGGATCCAGGCGAGA